AGACAGGGTCATGGGCGACCAAGGCTTATTGAAGGCTGCCCCATGTAGTCTGATCCAACAGACGAGCTACTGTAGCTCAAACTGCTGAACCAGTTCATGCTGGTTCTGATAGAAAGGTGTCAGAACACACAGTGCATCACAGTTTGTTGGTCTGGGACTGCGTAACATTATGACCACCAGGGTACCCAGGTGGTCATAATGTTATGGCTGATTGTTGTATATTTCCATTCACTGCTTTATTATTGTGCCACAATAAGGTTTTTGAGTTCACATGTCTTCATTTGAGGGCTTTTCCAAGGAAATATTTGTTTGAGATTAAATCAATCTAAAGTCATCATGCCACCCTCTGGCCACCCCATGAATATTTCTCTAGATCCACCCCTGCTGATTTCAATATTTTTTGCTGCACCATAGTTAAATTTGACTAATTTCTTAAGTAGGCTACAGGATTCACTGCATGTTTCCCCAGCAGAAGTCAAATCCTGGTAGTGTAGAGTTTGAAACAGCATTTAGACTTTATGATGGCAGAATTAATTACAGAAGACATAACTCAGTTAGGAACAAAGATATGAAAAATCTATTATGTCTGGTGTCATGGTGCGTGTTCAGACTCTCTGAGATAGCAACTTAACTCTAAAAACAGTAGTGCGAGGCCACTTGATAAACATGACCAGGATGCACAGTACCACAAGTCGTTCTCTACAGTCTGAGTACCACTTATTTTTGTTTGCTTTGTCCTCTTTTCTCATGCTGGGAGAGAGAAGTCAGCCTCCCAGAACAGCAGAGAGTGCCAGACTAATCATTCAAATCATTATATTTTATTTCTTTCCATTGAGAAAGTTTAATTGAGCGCGCGTGTGTGTGTGCGGACTGCTGATTGGGAGATGTGTGTTGAACTCGGCGCTTCTGTCCCTGCGCACTGGAGGCTCCCCCCTCACCACTCCTCTGTGTTTTCGTGCTCGGCGCTCACACCTGGAGTGACAGAGGGGGGGTAGAGAAGCTCGGAGCTGTGATGAAGGCAGCTCACAGTGCTGCTCAGCCTGCGTCTCCTGCACAGCGACTGCAGGGCACATTTGGAGAACAAGTCAGAAGGGAAACGTCCAGAGGGAGGGGGGATGCGCGCATGTGACAGGTTTTGGACGTTTCCATTTGTACCAGTCGGGCAGGGAATTGGATCTCTCCATCGGGAGCTGCGTTTTTAAGAAAAAAATCAACAAAAAAAATCACCGGCGACTGGTATCTTGAAACATTGCACGCCTCATCCGTCGCCCGCGGATCTTCACAGCACCATGCGAGCAGGAGAGACGCGCCCTGTGCCATGCTGAACGACTCTCCGACTCTCCTGCTGGCTCTGACCGCGGTGGCCGGACTTCTCCAGCGATGCCAAGGCTGGAGCGACGAAGACCTCCTCCTGCCGCCCATCAACTCCTCCAACAGGTTCCTGGCCAACCTGGAGGTGGACGTGCGCTTCTCCAAGAGGTCCGTGGAGGAGAGCGACGCCTCGCCCGACGCCTCCTCCCTGCAGACTCTGTCCCAGTGCAACGTGAGCGTCCAGAGACTCCTGCCCACCTCGCTGGTGGCCCGCTGGGACAGCAGCTTCGGCTTCCAGTGTGATGTGCTCATCTACACCACCAACAACCACGGAAGGGCTTTTTTCTCCGCGTCTTTCAACAGGGCGATCTCGCCCGTCGTCATCGAACATCTCGGGGTCACCGGGGGTCAGCAGGAGCTGAGGCTGTGCGTGGGATGCGGGATGTCCCGGTACCGGAGGTTTGGTCAGGGCAGGTCGAGGGGCCAGCAGACCGGGGATCAGGTCACTTTCTGCTGCGTGGATTTCAGCCTCGACGAGCTGAAGGGGGACAAAAGTTGGAGGCTGAACAGAAAGCCCATCGAGTCGACACTTGTGGCTTGTTTCATGACTTTGGTCATCATTGTGTGGAGCGTTGCTGCTCTCATATGGCCGGTCCCGATCATTGCAGGATTTCTGCCCAATGGGATGGAGCAGAGGAGACCGAGATAATTGAAATAATCTTTACTATAATTAGCCTGTGCTGCCTATACTATAATTGTAGCCATTCAACTGTTCACCTGAATGAATGAGTGCGGAGCTTTGGAGAACTTTTTGATCAAATGCTTTAGTTTTGGATGTTATTAGACCTCCTCCTCCTCATTAGGACAACCAAGGTAAAGTATGATGGATTATACTAGCCAATAGTAATCTATACTGGGACCAACACCAATGTGTTTTGTATACCCTTGTAGGCCTTCCTATAGATTATGTTAGCGTCAACTGTGCAAACTTTTCTCTTTAAACAGTGTTTGTATAGTTTTTAATCTTTCTAGAAAGTTTTTGCCTTATCCCATGTGTAGGACTTTTGCACTGAAATCTGAACTTTAAAGTGTGCCGTCACATATATAACCTATAGTCGTGTTCAAAGTAAATGTAGGCTGATAGTTCTTTTTTCAAATACTCTGAAAAATAGATGTTGTTTATGACTGACTGAGAGGGTTTCAATATTTATATTGTTAGATTTATAATGTCAAGTTCAATATGCGTGCTTATTTGTATTCATGTTCCAACGGTTTAAATGAAAATAAAATTGATTATAGGCTATAACTCAGATTCTGACCTGGTCTCTGTAGCCTAAATCAATTTGCTTCAGACTTATTTCAAGTGAACACAGCATGTGATCCAAAGTGGGAAAGGATCTGAGCCAGCGCTGTCAGAGTCTTTAAGAGACACACTCAGTTTCCCATTTTATATTACACCTAAAGCTAAACATAATGCAGCCTAATGCAACAGTTTGTGGTGCTGTTTAATGGGTTTGCATTATGCACGGAGGTGTTCCTCATTGATATAAATGTAATGGACAAAATAATAGTCACAGCTCCACAAACTGCAGCCTCCAAAATGATCACAATGTTGAACATATGATCATGACCAGAAGGGCATCTGTCACTGATTATGTTGTACTTGTTATTAATTAAATGTGACCATGACTGAATGCAGCAACTGTCTTATAAGAGCACGCTTGCTCCAGAAATGTGTATCAAGAGTCTGCTAGCACTGATTTTATATTATCTCACGATACATTGTATAAAAGCCCAAACTATACAGCTTTAATTATAGCCTACATGTGGCCTTCTCCAGATTTCCTTTACCTAAGTGAAGATATGGAATTATCAGAGTACTTTTACTTTGACATTTTAGTGTGTATAAATATATATATATATATCAAAGTAAAAGTACTCATTTGGAGCAGCATTTTAATATTGTAATATTAATATTGTTCAGGTAGTGTAACTTTATATGCTATACTTTTGGATAATTTAATGTACAGCAATTCCTAAAAGCTCATCATTCTGCCAGATAAGTAAAAAAATAGACTATCTCTGTCAGGGTCAGGTCACCTCTCTGCACCTCCTGTCTATTATATGCTCAGTAGATAAGGGCTAGTAGAATTAGCCTATTCCTCATCTCTTACAAATGGTTATTTTAGTACAGTAATATGTTGTTTTCACCACATACAACCTGCCCTTTTTTAAAGATGTGAGCAGGACATACTGGTGTAAATGTGTGTCAGTGCATGTTATCTGGCCTGTTCAGTTTACACTTTATCAGCCTGATCTATCAACAAACTGACTGATCAGTTTGTGATGACGACAAATATCAGCCCAGCCCGCCTTAAAGTTAACATTATCAATCAGCCTGTAAAAACAATCTTTTAACAGACATTTATCATTTTACTCCAATGGGGGAAATACTCTGAGTTGCCAGTTTATTATACACCTTGTTAAAACTAATGCAGTCTAATACAAGAGCCCTGCAATAAATCCTCACTTCATGAAGGTTTGAAGTGGGGTGGACAAAATAACAGAAACACCTGTCTGCATAAGACAACACAGTTAAACAGCAGCACAAACTACATCTTTCAATATGATCATACAGCTGAATCCACAACATTATAATCTTCATGAAGGGAGGATTTATTGCAGGGCTGTTGCATAAGACTGCATTGGTATATTATATAATATCAATAAAGAGAAATAACATTAGAAAATATATAGTTCATGTTGACCTTACGGCGCTATAATATTCCACATGGTGTGGAGGCTGGAATGAATATAATAGTATATGCTTTATTTGGCATTTTCAAACGTTACTTGAATTTTTTTCATTGTAAATAACTATGTATCTATTTTATTTAGCAAAAATAAATAACGTGTAGTGATATGATATCTACGTTTTTTAACTTGTATCATTTAAATCACGGATGTTACAGCGCATCCTGTAGGCTACCTGTCAAAATGGCCGACCTGGCCACGCCCTCACATTACCTGCTGCTCCCCGCACACTGCCTCACCGCTCACACACTCACACTCACACATACAGGAAGTGGAGGGGTTGCGTCTCAACAGCTACGACCTGAGCTTCACCAAAGGAAAATGTGGCGCATGAGAGTCGCAGATGTGGACGAGAAGCAATGAAATATGCGCAGATGTCTGATTTCTCTCAGGATCAAAGTGGTAGAACTACACTGTAGGGCAGCATGTACTTATCAACAGTCTCTCTCCAGATTTTACTTCTCACAGCCGTCGCCTTCACTGTATCAGGTAAGTTACAGCTTAATCATTAACCGGAGGGACAGATTTACTTCTTTAATGCTGCTGTTTAAATATTGACACTGGTTGTTCCTCAAAGTATAGCACATATTAGTATTTCTAGGCTGTTTATTGTTGTGCTGTTTACTGCTGATGTGGCTTGTTGATGAAATTATTGGGACCTGAATGACTTAAATGAGTGTATTGATTAGTTTGGTCAGAGTATATGGAGTTGTAAGGCAGGATCAGGATAAGGACAACAATGACTATGTATTTAGTATCTTAGTTTTTGTTGGTTCTCACTAAACTAAAACCAAAAAGATCTGATGTGTCATGTGTCAGCTGACTGTGTCTGCTTTGTGCGCTTTAGGCACTTATACAGATATAGAAAGCGAAATAATACAGTGTAATAGAATGATATGTGAGACAATAGAGAGCTGACATTAGGTTGTGTGTGAACATGGCTCTGTTTGCTCAGTACAGGCCTGGTTAGTCATAGAAGGAGTGAGGCCAAGCTGTATGCCTCACAGTTAGTCATTCTGACTCTGCTAACAGTGAATACAATCTTATATTTAACATGAAGCAAGATTTATTCATGCTCTGAAGTGGTGATTTCATCGTGTCATTTCTCCCTTTTCTCTTCATCAAATGTTCATGCTTTGTATTTTTTCCTCCAGGGGCCCAGAAGCTGACCGTCACCCCTGACAGAGGCACCACCATCACCATCAGCACTAATCAAGTCAAAGGTTGCAAAGTGTGCACTGTGGCACGAAACTCCAGGCGATGTCAAACATCCCTTCAGCTGAAAGACAACACTCCTGTCTCAGTGGAGTTTGAATGCCCCAGAGCTAAAAATGTGTTCAGCGTGGAAATTGTGCGAAATATCCGTAAGAGCGCCGCAGTATCTCAGAGTGAAAATTAAAAGGTGTTATTTGAATGGTTATCTTATTATTAAGTCATCTGTTCATATCTCTACTCAGAATGTACCACAAAGTCCTGCAACAGCCACATCATCCAGAAGGACTCACTGCCTTTGCTGGATTTTAACCGCAAGTTCATCTGGAACCTGAAAGCCTCAGCGCTGAAAGCGTTCAAAATAGACTTCAGGGATGCGGGTCTGAGACAGATTAATGCTTCGGAGAGTTGTCCAGACAGACACAGCTACACCCTCAAGGCCTTCCAGACGACAGGGAATGTGACTGTAGGAAAATACTGCAGAACGGGACCCATCAGTAGTGCTCAGATACTGAATCAAGGCAGCTTCTCTCTCGATGTCCCAGCAGGGCAGAGGCTGCAAAATGGCCAGTTTGATGTGTCTGTCGGGGAGGAAATCAAATGTGAGTGTAAATGTTGCCATCTGAAAAACTGGTATTGTGTCAGACATCATTATTTGACTGTTGTTTGTGTCTTTTTGTCTCTCGTAGCCCTTGCCAAAGTTACACTTACGTTACCAAAAGGGACCTCTTCCTTAGACTTGCTTTCTCCAAACTACCCGGACAGTTTTCCCGATGATGATGTGATGGAGTGGTACTTTCAGGTCCCGGACAAACACAAGACAGCTGTTCAGCTCTTAAATCTCACAGAGCCGCGTTGTCTGAAGAAGGACACAGCAGTGGAGTACCACGACAAAGGGAGAGGGGCGTTGGTGCTGAGGCTGACAGACCCCCAGCTAGAGCAGTCGCATGGAAACTTCTCTGTGACGCTGAGGAACTGCGAGATGGACAGAAGTCGGGCTGGTTCTCCTGGACTATCACTGAAGCTCAGGGTCTCTTCTTCAAGTTCATCAGGTCTGTACATCATCTGCGCTCGATGCTGCCGTATGGTAACAGTTTTAACGTTTTATCTCTGCCAAGATGGTATTGTATTTGGCCCTCTGAAGAAGAAGTGTTAATACATGACAAATATTAAAGAAATAAAGTGTTAAGATAGACGTTGAGCCAGAGAAAGGTTTTGATTTCAGTGCTGATCTGGATCTCAAACAATGTAGTGTTCATATTTAACTATAAATGTGAAACTAAGTGAGGTATAGACTTATTTCTATGGATGATTTTAAAGGGTCAAAATGTATTCAACCAAAATTTAAAGCTGCTATACTACTAATGGATCAAATGTGTGTGTGTAATATGAAAGAAGTTGGTTGGGATAATCCAGAGGGAATCATCACCTAGGGAGCATTTTAGCATCTTTTAGCTTATTGTTTTGGTTTTCTAGCCGACAAGTTTGCTGTTTTGGTTTACTCTCACTGTTTTCATCAGGGTCATTTTGGTCATCACCTAGGGAGCATTTTAGCATCTTTTAGCTTATTGTTTTGGTTTTCCAGCCGACAAGTTTGCTGTTTTGGTTCACTCTCACTGTTTTCATCAGGGTCATTTTGATCAGACAAACTACCTGCCCAGCTCCAAACAGTAGACAGACAAAGTAAGCGACTAGCTGGTGAACAGAGTAGATCATTTAGTAGCTAAAGAGCCAGATATTTCCCTCAGGAGTTAGTAGAGATCAAAACCAGAGCTAAAAAGAGTGAATACTGGACTTGCATTGTCAAATGGGCAGAAGCACTACTCCAAATGGATGATATTGTTGCTTTGTGTCCACTGGATGTGTAAACACACAACTGTTTGCCATATCGGCTTTATAAGGTGATAAAATCAGCGTTTACAGCTTGTTCTGCTGTCACCAAGTGGTAAAAAAAAAAAATCTAATATTCAAATTCAAATTAGTAGTAGTTACCTCTACTGTCTTGTTTCAGGGGTATAATAGATACGATTCGTGTTGCAACTATTCAGTTGCATGAAAGCAGTTTTGTCTTTTTGTACAGCAACATGGAGAATTGTTCGGAGTTTGACGAGGTTTTATTCATTCAGAAAATAGCTTAAGAGATTAATGATGTCTCCCCTACTGTGCATGTTGCAGCAGGCATGTGATTACTAAATATAAATAATCTTGAATCTTTAGTTTTCCATTTTCATATCATGTTAAGACAAGGGTTCAGTTTAGTCTGGGGTG